TGGACTTGCTGGAAAATAAACCAGAGAGAATCTGAAGTGCTGTGTGAGAGCACTGACTCACTGTTGGGTGGAATCAGCCGGCATGCCAGAGCTGCTGGAGTCAGGGAAAGCCCCTGGTGAAAGTACCATGTTGACTTATGGGATCACACTTTATGGAAACCTTCCACTGAGCATTCAGCCTTCAACACGATACTGTTGTCTAGGCAAGTGAGGTTTTATAAGCACCAAAACACTCAGCCTTCCACACACTCAGAAAGCTTTCAACAACCAATATTCAAACACTCATCTTCACACTGCGGTCAGCTGCCAATGGGCCTGACCAATGGTTTTTGAAAACCATGTTACTGACAAAGCTTTTGTACACTGAAAATCTCCTTAAAAGATACCTATCAGTAAGTATCTATTTTTAATAGATATTGCAATTTCTCAGTTTTACTGTGGTTACAAAAAACCCAAACAAAAACAAACCAGAGAAGGCTGTGGGTCAGGGGTGGGCAGAAGTCTGCATGTTTTTGAAAAACCTAGTCCAGCTTTTGGTGAGGCTAACCTATGAAAAGACCATTAAAAAAAAATAAAACCAGATGAACATCTAAGACCTCTCCCATGCATGGTTAGTATATAATTTCTTCAGGGGCAAGAATTTTGATCATGTACATGAAGCACATTTTTTGAAAGCTTTGGTTTTGTTACTTACATTACAAATTTGGTAAGAGGGTAAAATAGTTGCTATCAGCAGCTCATGAGTGCAGCAATAAACCCTGCACCAATGCAAAAAGCAACCCCTCTCCCTCAAGGATGGATAACATTCAATTTTAAATATCCTGTTGTCTTAGAGGAACCTGGGAAAACCAGAAAGTTATGAATGAGTGCCAGCACTGTTACCTAGCTCAGCCAATAGCACTGATCAAGAAAAATGAAGGTTAATTTGCATTATTTTAGATTCCAGATAATATGACAGTCTGTGCAGGTTTCCACCAGGCTGAAAAGACCTCATGGGCTAGGAATTAAAAATCTGCAACTGCTTGGGCAGTAATGAACTTGTAGTTCAATCTAAATCATCAAAATAGTCATTTTACATGTCTAGACATATTTCATCTGTGCAAGTACTGAACAGCTTGATGTATGCAGTTTTTCTTTCTCTTTGCTTTCACCCAATTTGAAGAATTGACAGGATCTAGCTGAGTAACATTTATCTTGTTAGAGATCAGAGTGACTTTAAGACTTTAAAAAAAAAAAACAATCAGACTAATGAAACTCAAGAGCACCAGACCTTGGAAAATACCTTTTTAAAAACTGGGCCCACTTGAACAGTAAAATTTCTAACAGCATACTTGTTTGCTTACGAAATTTAAGTGCCTGCTTTCCCTCTTCCTTCATTCAACCATCCTCGCTGCTCGCACTGCAGCTTTGAAGGCTACCAGAAACATCCAGCCACCGGGCACCTCACAGAACAAAACAAGCTTGCGACAATCCGAGATGCAAGACACCCGTACAAAGTGCCAAAATTAACACTAGAGGAGCAAGAATAATAGTGGTGTTTTCATCACGTATCTGTTCAAAACAATTCTCCCTGGAAGGGAAAAAGCGAGCTGAGGGCTGCCAGCGCTGCTGCTGGCACGGTGAGGACAGCAGGCGAAAGCCTCCCTGCACGGCGCTGACCTCGCGTCACCCACCAGGGCTGGCCCCGGCTCCAGCTCGTTGGCTGCACGTGTGTTTTGTAACACCCTGTACTGCCTGTTCTTGGAACGCTCCTTCCAGAGAACCAGAGGGACAGGGCTCACCCTCCACGGCCACTTCCAACCCAATCTCACCAGCAGCAGAGCATCCTGCTCCTCCAGATAAATTATCAGTTTATAGAAGGGTAAAGGATCCAAACCCTGTTCGCGTGCTCTGAAATCAGGTGACCCGTGAGTCAAGGGACAGAGCAATAAATTATTAGGAAAAACAAAACACTACACTAAAAATAGTGAACACCAGCAGCACATGAAGAATAACAGTTTTAATCCAGTCAAAGCTCAAGGCCCTCTCCAGCCACTTTTGTATCTCAGCAAAACAAATAGCATAAGCAAAGACAGATAAACAAAACCTTACTTTAGGTTCTCCTTGATAATTATATACTTAATTAGAAGTTAACAGCAGAGGAAAAAACCCAAAAAGCTGAGTTTTGGACCAGCAGAAAAAGCATTAATGCCCAAAATAAATATCCAGTGCAACTTCAATCAGAAAATATCAAAATTACTTCCTTTCAGGGAAAATTGCTCCAAGATGATTTCAGCACAAATATGCCAAAAGCTTCACTTCAGCTACTAACACAGTTTGGGCAAGATTAAGGATTTGTCCACTTGTCAGATTTAACAGATCTAATAAATTATTGTGAATACTCAAGTTAAGCATTAGGTAAAAAAACCAAAAGCCCTTCACAAACATTCCAGAATCCAAGTGATTGATACCCATAACTTACTTTGTCAAGCCTCCCATTAGCAAAAACATTATATAGAGATTTTCTACTAGAAATCAATAAAAAAAATAAATTTTGTAATTATCAAGGGACAACAATGCATAATTTTGTTGGAGGAGGAGGAATTTTTCTAAGAGATAACAAAAAAGCAAGCACAGAAAAGTAGTCAAAAAGACTAAGTTTCTATTTAGAAATATCTGATTACATTGGCTATTACAGTAAACAGCTGGTTTTTGCAATCACTTATCTCCAAGAACTAATAAAAAACACATCTGAGAGATTTTTAGCACAGAACATTTTATTCTTACCATCTGAATTAGTGGCTGATCTTGCAGAATCTGGCATGGGAATCCAGACAACAAGCAACCTGCCCTCCTTATCCCCAGAAAAGCTTGCAAACTGTGTTTACTACACTCTCCTTGCTGGGCTGAATCCCTACAAAACAGCATTTAGAGAATTGTTTTTAGCATGAGTTGGTTTTCCTCTTGAGTATGGAAAAATGCTTGCCTGAAATCCAAAGATTTTCCTCAGAGATAAATTCTTCACAGTCCAAGCTGGAAGCACGCCCTGCCAGTGGGGACCTCTAGGCTGGGCACAGCCCACGTGAATGCCAGCCGGGCCCCAGCGACCAGATGGCAGCGCCTTATCTGCCTGCCCAGGGAAGAGTCAGCACTGCCCACACCATTGCTCATGGAATTTGTGTGGAAAAGGCACACACAAGGTTATGCCTCACCACCTTGCAAGGTGCCTCTGGTCGGTGCCTAACAGGAAACCATGTTTTCCTGCTCTTTTTTGTCTTTTAAACATCTTTCTTAAGAAAGTTACTTCTTTTTTTTCTTCTGCTTTCAAGATCTTCCATGGCTCACCACTGTTCCTGTTGTCACCCACTCACTACTGCAGTAAACTGGCCTCTGATTACTTTAATCACCAGTCCTTACTCCCCCTGTGTTGTCCTACACTCTTGATTAAAATTACTCTGATTTGCAGCTTCTCTGTTACGGTGATAAAGGCTTGTCAGCCTGTGGGAGCACAGTTTATCTGTCTCCATCAGTATTATCCTTCTGTCTCCTCGCAGCCCTCTGTTGGAAGCCATTGATTTAGCGTTTGATACTTGCATAAGGTCTGAGGTGAGGACAGTCTTTTGTTCCATGCTTGTATAATACCCAGCAAAACATTATATCCAAGTGTGACTCTTAATTAGTATCACAGATGACAAATAATAATCTTCAGGCAATAACTCCATGAATTTGCTTCCCTTCTCTTTAAGTCCTCTTTATGACTGAATTACACACCTGAAGGATGAGGAAGTCCTTGATCCATCTGACACAGCAACACAAAACAGTCAGGAAACACAGCCTGAGAATATAGAGGTTTGGTTCACAACTACACGAAGTACTTCCTTCACTCTCTAAAGAAGCCAGTGCTGTAGTCAAGATCCACAGGCATAGATGGACCTCACAAACACAGCAAAAGCTGGGGAAACCACACATTCTTAACAGCACTGATAAAACAGACTTACAACAAGTTGTTTATGCTGTATGAGAAGTGACCTGGACTCAGTTATATACATAGCTCTTGTTTGTGACTTCCCAAATCAAAACGCACAGTGCCATCGAGTTTAGCCTATAACAACAATCCTTCAGATGTCCTACCCTAAAAAGAGATATTGACACTTCTAGCTGGAATTTAACTACAGTAGCTGCAGGACCCATGGAGTAACCTCACTATAAAAATAAGAGAGCACTTGGGGTGCTTCCAGCATCCTGCTCACACAGCCCAAGGCCAGCACCTCAGCTGCACGTGCGAGTCAGATGAGAAGTCACATCCGCCCCACCGACTACAGGCTCCTCCTCACCTGTACCATGCCCAGGTCAAATCCAGAGAGCTTCTTACCTCCTGCTCCTTTCCCCCTTGCCATGCTGTTCAAGTTGCATGAGGCAATTTTCATGTTAAGCTAAATGGAAAGGATTCAGAGAGATCTGCTCAGATGATAAAGTTTTGCATTTGAACTAATGTTTTAACTACCAGGCATTTTAAAGTATACAATACTTCAGACATCTTTTAGAAAGATGTTATAGGAACTAGAATATACAATGCCTCTAGGAATTCATATCCACTTTCTCTCAGTTTACTTCTTCTCCAGCTGCTTTGCCTTTTAAAATCTATTTTAAAGTCATAAAACCAACAAGTTACCTTCAGTTTCATAAACTTTGCTAAAACTGGAGAGTAAAATGTGTCAGTTGCCATGGCAGTAGTGAGGAGTCCCTGGGTCAGGATGCAGAGAACTTGTTCTTTCTCATCATTTGCATCTGAAGTTCAGCCATCTGTAATTAACTATTTAACAACAGTCTTGCTTGTTAGCACTGGTGCTTGCTATTTAAGTGTCCCCACCTTCAGCCCTTTTGAAAAATCTCCTAATTAATGTGGAAATTCATGTGAAGGCTCAATCATCTTTCAGGTAGGATGACCACCATTACTTCAACTTGGCCAATATTCCCTTTTCTCACCAAGGAAAAAGCAAACACTTATGCAGACACCAACCTCTAGAAGCAGCAGCTTTATTGTTAGCCATCAATTTGAAAAGAATTCCATCAGACAGTAGATGATGTGGCTGAACTCCAAGACAGGCTACATCCCTCCCATTTAAGTACACTTCACTATACATTATTGTCCCCAAGTTCCACAGCATCTCTCAGTCTTCTTTATCCCACCTTCTTGATATTGCAAAAAAAAAAAAAATTTTGTAATTTTATTTCAGAAGACAAATAGCATCAATTTAACCATGTGTTGCTAACAAGTAAGTACTGCCTTTTATCCTCTGAGAGAATCTGAAATATGCTTGTCTACTTGCTGCATACATGAAGAAAACAAAAACTCAGTTACCCATTTCCAAGCTTAGAATTCTAGAGTTAAAAGTTCAGTTTACCTTATCTTGACCCCACTATCTTAATTTAAATCTGCATGACCTAAAGAAAAATACTGACTCTGAATCTCGTCCTAGGAAAGCAGGCCAGTCTTGCTGCTCCTCATTCACCACACCCTCAGAAGAAAGTGGGAGGCTGTACAGTGACAAAAAGGAACAATGCACCTGTTTTTTTTTACTGTTCCTAAAACTACTTCACCAAAACAATCAGTACTATTAGGGGCAAGGAAGAGGCCTTCAGCAGGAAGTCCTTGTTTCAGTCATTTAACAACCTAACATATGCTAAGAGCACTCAGTTCACAGGTACAGCTAGCAAAACACAGATCCTCCAAAATTATAAAGTGAAAGAAAAATTTGAAGAAATACTTATGTAGAATATGGAAAGAAAGTTGCAGGGCATCGGAAGACTAATTCCCACATCCCAATAACAAGACAGTATTTTCCAGGCTGGCCTGTCTTTCATGATGACAAGCAGACCAGCAGACTGTTACATTGCACTGGCAATTTCAGTGCAGCAGAACATGGCTCAGAGACAGCACAGGCTGAGATGCTTTCTCAGACTAAAAAGATGAGAGATTTGGTGATGCAACCACACATACATAGGATAGATCAGATCTAATGCTAGGGTTTAGAGACCCAGCACAAGAACCCAGTGTCATTACTTCTGGTTCCAACGAGAATGGTGCAACTGAACAGTCTAAAAGTGCCTGAAAAGGTTTCCTTTTTAGCATGTTCAGGAAAATTCTCCATGACAGATATTTGACTTCACATGTGAAGGCTTGGGGAAATTCATCCAGGGCAGCTTATATCTGACCATATCAACTCGAGGGGCTTGGTTCAAGCCCAACAAGTATGTGAACACGGGCATAACTAAGCTCAAGATAAATACAGCCATGGGGAAGAACTGTTAAGCACATTTTCTACCTACATGCAAGGCACCTACTAATGCCACTGAGCTGCAATTTTTTTTCCCCAAAATAACTGAAAAATAAGAAAATGAGAAACAAACCTAACAGTACAAATGAACTGATAATAAAGCTTTTAAAGAGCATTCACAGGGAGAAGAGATAGAAACACTCAAGAATTCAATAATTTTATTTCAAATGGACAAGACATTAAACATTATAGTTTGCAGGTTAAGCAGGAGCTGATATTCCTGTAACTTTATTACAACATCATGTCAGTTAGAAATCATACCTACAAGCTGAAAACTTCTTCAGCACTGCTGCTAGAACAGAACTAGCTATCAGGGTAATTAAAAAAGCACACAGGAAAAAAAAAGCACAGGACTTGTTAGGAAGTGTCCTTAGGTGAGGAATGTAGATTAAGAATTCCATTATTTTATCTGAAATACAGAAAAAGACAAAACAAAAAGCCCAGAGCAAACTATTTTCATAACATCTGACCTCTTCTACTGCAGTTTCTTTTTGTATTCGTCTTCTCTTTGTGCTACTTGATCTCCCAAAACTTTGATGTTACAAACCATTCATTGTCATCTAAGCGGTGGGTAATTTATCTTGTGGAACTTTGTCAGAACATGTTTGACCACCCAAAATCCTCCTCCTAGCTAGTAAGGCTACCTCCAGCTTCAGTAGGTTTCAGTATTTGCAGTCCAAATTATGGAGAGGGTGGGGTGGAGGGAGAGGCATAAGGCCAGCAGACCAAAGGCAGAGACTTTACTTCTTCCTGAGAAACGCAAGGAGCTCTGAGAGATGAAATTGATGATGGTGGAGCAGCATGAAGCTCCTCAGGTCATTTTTCGAATGCTATTAACCTTCACCTACAACGCCTGCCTTTAAGTGGTTAAACAGTAACCTGCAAAAGTAAAAAAGTTACAAAAGAGACAATATATGCTTCCCATCTAAAAAAAAAAAAATAAAAATCTGGGAGAGTGGCCAGGCCCATAAAATTGTTTTTAAATTTTATTTGGAAGGATAAATGAGGACATTACAACTCTCAAGCTGTGTAAAAGACTGCACACTTTAAAATGGACACCAGACCCTACTATGGAATTTTGAATGCATAAAACAAAGGAACATTTTTGATAGCTTTAGAATTGAACTGTGTCACACAGCACAATCCAGCTATTTACAAGTTTCCACACTGTAAGTCATGTTATTAAGCTGTAATAGTCTTCTGGTACTCCAAATAATAAAACATTACATAGGGTCAAAACTGAAAGGCTTAACAGAATTTCAGCCAAGAATCTAGTTTGCCTCCCTCTTCCCTAATACATGGTAATTTTCCACATAGCAAAATGGGAGACTCACATATTTAAAATTTAATCTATGCAATTATGAAGTTTCACTTTGTCCTCTCAAAAATTCCTTACTATTTTAAAAAGCAATGCTTCAGTGATTCAAAGCCAACAGTTCCACACAAAACACAAGAGTACACTAATGGAATCATTCCTCCTCCCATGCCAGGAGGTGGGCATCCAATGTCAGCAAGCTCACTTAAATTAGAGCTCTTGTACTTTTCAGAAGAATATCAACAAGCTCTAGACACATGAATATATGGATATATACATATATATGTGCAAGGACTTGGTCAGAGCAACATTCACATTTGTAGATAAGTTTGCATAAAAAGCAATGGATAATCCTCAATTCTGCATTGAGTTCAGTATAATATGAATTAGCTTTTTATACCATATAGTTGAGCAACCAGTAAGATGCTAATTAAAAATACATATTTTTATTACCCCCAAAGCTGACATATTTGCATCATTTGGGCTTCATTTGCCCCAAGACAAACAAGTAGTGGCAAAGGGCTGATAATGTTTCATGCATTGTTTCTAGCAGAAATCAAAATACTGTAATAGTTTCCTCCTGCTGGAGGAAAAAAAAAGAGAAAGAAACTTGACCTACATAACAAGGCACAGAAGAAACTCAGTTAAGCTTCAGGGTGTTTTTGGGAGGGGGAAGAGGTTGGTTTTTTCCCTCATAACAATGAAGAGTCAAACAGTTACATATGGCTACACTAACTACAACTAGCTACAACTGTTAGCACTTCTGACACTTACACGTCTCACTTTTAAGGCTTAGAAGTCCTCCCCTCCTGTTCCAGGACATTTAATACTCTTGCCCTAACAACCTAATGAATTAACCTTGTTAATTTTGAGGCTGTCCATTACTTTCCTGTAAGGGAACGTTAAAAAAGGAAGAAGAAAACCCCCAACTCGCAGAAATGAAGCCTTTCATAGGCTCAGTACACGGAAGGAAAGGAAGAACGTCTGGTGTGGGTTTCTAAAGGAACTGTTTACAGACTCAGCCAGAGAGGCAAACTTCGGTACACTTTAGCATAGGTGGATTTCAAATCACCTTTCACAGACAAACACCACCAACAACTGCCGATACTCTGAGTTACACAGCTTGAACTTGTTTCACGCCCGGGAATCCTGTCCGGGCCGGTGCCACCGACCTTCCAGCCTCCCCCCGCCGCTCCGCCCGGTCCCCTCCCCGGCGCCCCCGGGCCAAGCCGAGCCGATCCCGGGGCCGGCTGCCGTACACACCTTCTCGGCGCGGCCCGGCGCTCCCGCAGCGAGCCCCGCAGCGCCGGCGCGGGTGGGCGGCTGCCCACGGCATCCTCCACAAAGGAGGCAGAGTAGGGGCGCGCATAGCAACAGGCCCGGCCGCCGATTGGCCCCGCCGGGCGAGCGCCGGCCCCTCGGCACGGCCCGGCCCCCGGCCCGCCCGGCCCAGGTGAGCGGGGCGGCGGCGGGGCGGACCCGCGGCAGCGCCAACCGCGGCACCGGGGCCGGGCTGCCGAACCAGAACCGGCCTTGCCGGGGCCGGGCTGCCGAACCAGAACCGGCCTTGCCGGGGCCGGGCTGCGCGTGGGAGGCCGGCGGTGCCGGGAGCGCCCTGCCCCGAACGGGCGGCGGGGCCCCCTCGATGGGACGGCCAGGGACGACAGGGCCCGGGCGGCCGCGGGAGCCGCTCCCCCGCTCCGGGACACGCTGGCACCGCGGCCCGCTCCGGGTTAGAGCGGCTGCCGTGCGCTGGCACCGCACACGCAGTGTTCTCCCGCACGGCACCGCTCTGAAGAGGCAGCCCGAGCTGCAGTCTGTGAGGTGATGAATATTTACATCTGGAGTGGAAAAAGCCGCCAGCCCGTCCTCCTGCCAGCCAGCACCAGCTAACTCTCCACTGCTCTTTTTCCACTGCTCAGCCCACTCGGGAGTGGCTCGGCTGCCTCATTCCTCTGACCCTCCTGGAGCACACAGGGGGAGGAGGATCTCACACCGGATCTCCTTGCACTACTCTAGTTCTTACTCCAGTACTTGTAATGGGCTCTTCTGAGAACTAATTTATGAGGCTGTTTCAAGAGAGTAGTCTCAAAACAGCATGTACTATTCTAGATGTAGTCTAAACAACCTACTGGCTACATTAAACAATTTCATCCAGTTCTGACGTATTTACAAGTATTAAAGTCAGATGACAGTCACCATATTAACATAATCAGTTCAAAAAACCTATCTCACTCTCAGCCTAACCAGATCACAAGGCAAGACTAAAACCCTTGTTCTGTAATTAGACACCATGAAACTCAGAAAAGTCCAAGATCAAACTAGACTACACAACTACATTCAAAATCCAATACCCACTAACCCATTCAAGAGCATGGAAAACATGCCACTTCACAAAATTACTTTTCCCCACTCACATTCTATATACCAGTATCATTTAGCTGTGGTTGCAAGAAAACACAGTCTGTCAAGATTTTTAAGTAGACATTTTATCCAAGGAAGGTCAGATACCTTTTAGTAGTTGGCCATTTAAAGATCTCATACAGATAGTGCCTTAAAGTTAGATACAAAATGTAACATTTCATTTGTTACTAACCTTCAAGCTTCCTGTATATTTTACCTGTTTGCTTTCCAAGTATTTTTCCTTCATGGAACATTTACTTCTACAAAAACACTGTAATTTACACAGTTGTCTGAAAAAGCAATTTCAGGTTCTTAAGCAACTACCTAGCATTTGAAAAAAGTACTCAGATTATTTGCTATGAAACAGTTATTCAGTATCTACAGGACGAATGGGAGGGGTAAGAGGAATATTTATCACATTAGTAAACATGGTATGTTTAGAAGTTGTGCTAACAAGAGGCAGGAGCAACAACAACCGAGTCAGTTCCCACCGGGGCCAGCAGAGACAGCATTCATGAGCCACCAGCTGTTTTTACAGGCGAGCTAACAACGTGTTAGTGATGAGCAGCTGTCTGTAGATGATGGGCATGCCTACCCACCATACTGTTCCTCAACACTATCCCCACACTGGGATACTGCAGTGCAACCACAAAGATCCTTTTCACACCAGATATTCTTCAAATACAGTAAAAGTAGGACAGCTTGTTGACACTCCAGCTTTTAAGCTTACAATCTTAAACCAGCTGTAGGGTGCACAGAGCTGAGCTCTCTGTGCCTGTTTGTGGATGAACACCCCAGAAGTGAATGCATCCAGCCTAATAAGATGCTAAATTTATAAACTGCAATATTAGAAATTCTACCAAAACAAAAGCTACCTTGAAGCACATGACTCATTTATTGGATCTCTTAGGCTCCCACAAATTCCAGAGGCACAAGACACTTTACATGAGAACACGGTAGTGCACAGAGGTACACACAGGACTTTATCCTAGGCTGCATACTTCATCACGATAAAGAACCTGCACTTCAATTACTATTACTGTCCTCAAAGTTCTAACACTGCATAACAACAAGCAATACTCAAGATAACCAGACTACATTTTAACCCACCTTCTGCCACAAATAGAATAACACTTCTAAAAACAAAAAAGGTGAGGTCTTCATAACAATGGATTTTATCCCAACACTTTGTGAGTAACCAGTCCTACACATTCCATAAAAGAGGAAATCAGAGCCAAGTATGGTTCATCGCAATATCAAGTGAACTACTCATCAATTCAGAGGCACTTGCCAATAGACATAATTGGCATCATCCCTACATTACAAAAAACACTCAACTTCAACCTCTGAAGGGCCATGCCAAAGCACAGGATGTCTAGTAATGAGACAGTTCAGAAAAACACTCTAGTTCAGATTCCAGCCTGCCTTGTGCAGGAAAAGCAAGGTGTGCATGTGACCCCTAAGGAGCAAAGCCTAAGTGACTCCACAGCACCTTATGTTTACACAGCCTAGTCATAGAGACAAGCTAAAAATAAAAATACACTTCTACTAACACATCCCTTCCTTGAAACATACATTTTGGATTGAGTTACTAATTTGCAGAACACAAAACCACTAAGTGCTCTCATGTAGACAGCCTTTTTCCTCTTCTCCCAGAACAGATGCTCAATTCCTCAGAACAAAGCTGAGGTCAGTTCTTGAAGCTTGCAATGCATTTTAGATATGTGCTCACACTCTGTGTACAGTTTTTCTTTTACTGATGTTTAAACTCAAATTTCTTGAATGAGAAATGCTACATACAGTCTACAGTGCACCTAGAGAAGTTGAAAGCATCAGATGCTAAATCCCACAAGGATCAGATGCTAAGTCCCACTATGATGTTTAAATCAAACAAACAAAAATTAAAACCAAATAAAATAAAAATCAGTGTGTAACATAAAGCTGCTTAAATTTAATACTAGAAACTTACCCAAGAATGAATTTCACCACCTTACAAAAAGCATCCTAAAACATTTATAAAAGGCCACTACATCATCTCAACGTGAGGATGGGATGAAAAAACATACAAAGCACATCAAGCACCACAACTTTTATCTCTAGTGGATCCAAAACACTTTCTCATAGAAAGTTGTTAATTCAGCAAGGCTCTCGTGGGAAACATCCTAAGGCAGCACAATAACAGCCAGCTATGACTGGCCTAAGTTTAGTGAACCTAACTGCGTGATGCAAAATGAGCCAAGTGTGCGTTCTAGCACTTTTACATCGGACTTCACCTTCAGACATTCTCAGTGTTATCAATTATTCCTCGTGTTTCACCTGCATGAACTAGCCATTTGGTTTTACTCCTCCACTTTTTACCAGCAGACTCCTCAGAGGGGTCCTCCACACCTTGCCTGCATTAGCATGGTGTAGGCACTAACGCTGTGAGTACTGCTGCTAGTACAGCTATGGTAGCAACCATTACCAAAGCCTATCCTCCGACTCTAGCTCTCCGGATACTTTGTTTCTCACAGTTTCCCCACGGTAAACAAAATTCCTCTGGCGATTCAAATAGCACATGCTTCAAAAGAAAGAAGCTGTTTCCCCCTCAAATTAAAGCAAAGTCATACTGTTCGCTAAAAGGCAACTGAAGGGGGAAAACTTGCACAGAAAATATACTTGAAGCTCAATTTTAAAGACATTTAGAGCAGAGAAAAAAGGGCTTACCTTTGAGCAGCATGAGTGTTGATATCAACTCCTTTGACCTAACTGCATTCCCAGTCCATGCTGATCTTCAATTTTGTCCCTGTCCAGTTTCTATTGACAGGAAACTCCTTCTCACTTATGCCACATCACTGTAATATTTACTGAAGTTCTTCCCTTCTTGATGCAACTATTCTCTTCTCCCCTACCCTCAAATTCACCTACTTAATCAAAATTTTAATAAAGAACAAGTAAATGCATCAGCCCAACAGACCAAAATTTTACTCTCTGTTAACACAGAAGTTATGGCAAGTAGCCATCACGGAAATTTACTCAGATACTGCTCTTACACACCCTCCCTGCCCCCTCCAAGTCTGCAAACAAAGCCTTCCACCAAACTTGCTGACCTGCCTGGAAGTGTGAGTTTGAGCTATGGTTTGTTTCACTTGCGTTGCTGGGCTGGTGCCCTGGCAGGGAATCAAGAAGAACAATACCTGGCAGGGGAGAAGGGCTTCCCATTGCTCTGAAAAAAAAGCGTGCTGACCACAGCAGCTCTTCCTGCACCTCTCCTTCTCCTTCCCTTGTCCCTCAGAAGAAACCAGCTGCCACTTTACCACCTCCCATCGTGTCGCTGACTGTACTGAGGATATGGGTAATACTTGCCATCTTCTATTCTACTGAAGCTCTTGCTCTCTTTTTGCCCTTGCTGCCCCTGTTATACAAAACAACAAGGTGATACTTGCACAGCATCCTGACAAAGGAGCTTGTTTTGTTGCAGCACAGAGAAGTGTGAAATATGTCCTAGAAATCCTGAAGGCTCATCGGCTGGAAAAGGAATCCCTGCATACACAGCAAGCACCATTAAGAGGTTGGTACAAGCAGTCACCTGCTCATAGGCTCCTTAAAGTAGTTCACTGTCCAAAACAGACTTACTTACCAACCTGGTTACCTGGTTCCCAGGAATCTTGATGGAAAAAAGATCACTACCTTGTGTAATGTAAAGCAGATTACATTGCTCATGTGCAACCAGAGTCCTTATTTATAATATATATTCTCCCTTTTTTTAAGCCTTAGAAGAAAATCCAAATCTTTTTTTTTCCTTAGAAAAAGCCAATAGGTTTGGGAAATGCATTAATTATTGCTAAAAGCCTAAGTGCCCCATGGTTACTGGGTACTACATACCTGGACAGAGAGAGATTGCATGCCTGCCCATGTACAGAAAAGTGGTCAAACCAAAATAAGT